CCTCGGTCCCCGTAGCGTCAGTAGCCAGGACAAAAGGTGCAGGCATTGATATCCTCGGCTGAGAATTCGACGAGGTAAACCAAGAAGGCTTTTCAGCTCCCGTTTCAGACATCTGTAAGGAACGGAGCAGGAGAAGCACAACCTACTTTTATTGCCAGAGGGGAAGAAGAAGGAAGAAAATTAAGAGACCGTTTTCCACAAAGGTTTTTATTTGGCGGAATGTCAGCTTCAAATAACTAGGTAGTTAATGGGGCCACTCAGGCGCCAAGCCTTCCCTTGAAACCCCTGCAGCCCCTGCTCTGGGAAGCAACCCCATTGAGAACGTGGGTACCTTTTGGGGGTGTGTGACTGAGGGAAGGAACGCACAGTTGAGGGATAGTGAAAGCAGCAGGGAGTCTTTGGGAATCCGTGAAAGGTTATAAAGTTCTGCCAAAGCTCCCAGTAACGCCTGCCTCATACTTTCCCCTCTCAATGTACCTCTTCAATTCTTTGTCCTTTTCACCATCCATCTTTGTTCAGTGTTGGTTTAATTCTCAGTTTGTTTGCCTGCCTTCTTCTTCTCTTGTCTCCAAACAACCAGACTGTAGGAAGTTCAGCCCTGGCATAACCGACATACTCCCACCCTGCCAACAAAAGCTCTTAGTGCCCCAGAGCCTCCAGCTAGCTCCTCTCTCCCCATGCTTCCGGGGGCTGGGCTGTGTGCTGGACTTCAGAACCCACCTGCCTCTAAGGGGTCAGACCTTATTTTTAATAGCTGCAGTGTGGGAGAGCTTAGGGAGGAGTGAGCACTTAAAATATTATCCTACGTTCCTGGAGCTCCACACGGCCCACAAGCTCCGCTCCTTGCAGCCACTGAACCCCGCTGACCCTGGCATCCGACCAGAAACCATAAGGACAAGACCCTCCTCTCCTCAGGTTTGCCAAGTCACCTCTGCCCTTTTCAGGCTGCCCTCAGTGGTAAAGACAGAATTTTTGTTCTAAAAGACCTAGGCCAAAGGACATCTCTCTTGGCCCCAAGCTCCCCCAGCTTCTGGGACAGGTCAACAAGCTGCAGGAATCTGGTTTCCCTTGTGGTGATGCTGCCAGATCTCATGCTTGTACCTCCCAGAATGGAATATTTTGCTGCCTTAGCTACTCGTCATCAGCTGTTTCCTGAATCTTGATTCTTTCCCTATCTGCCTTTCGTTGCCACTAAAAAAAAAAGAAAAATAAAAACAAATATAATATATATGAGAGACAGCAGACAATGGTGGATACTGTAGTTTTAAGGTCTAAAATTATGACTTAGAAACATTCCAAACAAATGGATCTCACGTGATGGATATCTTTTGAGAAAAGCTATGAGGGTCAGTTGGAGAAGAACTAGTAGCAATGATGGCTAGGATATGTAGGGCAACTGGAGGGACTAGGGGGACCACTGACTCAGGGGTATTGTCCTTGAAAGTCCTAGTGCCTTGACCCACAAATTTCCCCTCACAACATGTACTTTTCCTCCATCTCTCCACTGGTTCTGTCTGGCTTTAGGGCTGAGTTCATGCATCAGAGGGCTGCTCATCCACCTCAGGGACCTGAGTTGTCAAGGAAATAGACTTAGCCCATCCATTGTTTGCCACCTTCCACCCCAGGTGAGGTTGCCCTGGAAACAAGAGGCACCCATGCAGTGCACCCGGTGGAGGGCGTGTTAGGTGTGCAGTGTGCAGAGAGTAATTTGCATGGTAGTAAAATATCACCCGTGAAAGATCCATCAAGTTGTTCAGCCCAGCCTACTCCACTGTCTAGCCTTCCCCACCCCTTTTTATGATTCTCCTTGGGGCAAAAGCGTTATTTTCCTTTCTGATCCTTCCGTTTTCTGAGTGGGCAGACTGTCAGAGCAGAATGCTCTTGGTGCCCTCAGGTCCCGAGGGATGAGTTTTTGAGTTTCAAGAACGGAAAGCAGACTCCAACTGGAGGAAAAAAAAATCTTCACCTGAAGGCTTGAGCTCACAGAAGGGCCTGCTTTGAGAGCTTTTGGCCAAAGGAGCAGTTAATCGATGCTCTGAATGCCCAGATGGTAGAGCAGGGGAGCATTGAACGGTGGTTATAGAATCGAAGTAAAAGTCCCCGGCTCCTTCCCAGTGCAGTTTATCCCTGATTGTCTCCAGGCATTCTGGCTGTTGGTTTCCAGAAATGCTAGGGACTTTTCTGGTTTCTCCCTAAGTGTCATCAAGTTCTCTAAGTATGTCCCATGGTGACATCATGTTTGATTGTTTTGTTTTTCCTCATGGGATAACTTCAGTTACAGTATTGGGCATGCAAAGCAGTCCTGCCCTGGTGCTCCCTTCAATGGGCTGGCCCTCCTTCTTCCATCTTTTCTGTGGGCAGACATGGCCATTGTTTAGGCTGGTACAGGAATCTCTGGTGCCATACTGGTTGCTGGAGCGTCTAGACCATCCTGAGTAGAATTCAGCCTGTGGTGAGGAAGCTGAGAGGTGGCAGGAAATTTGGAGGGTCAGAAGAGGCTGAGGGTTGGAAGGCACTGTCCACCAGTCAAATTCTGCCCAATTCTGAGGATTGCCCAAAGATGAGCTGTCTTTTGTTAGGCATCAGACAAAAATAAGCTGTCCATGACTTAGGATGGTCCTGATGTCTTTGTTGGGTTGTGCAGCTTTTTCCATCAAGTCCCCAAGATTATTGAGAATCCTCAAGAATGTGTGGCTGTGGACTTCTGTCTTGCCTCCAGGTTTTCTAGGGTGAGCAAAGCTGAGTGGAGATGCAGATCTGGATGTGAGTCTTTGCCCTCTACTTACTTGCTATCTGTATGGCCTTGGACAGATCAACACCTCTAAGCTTCCATTTTCTTCCCATAAAATAGACATATTAATGCTACTCGCTCATGAAGTTGATATGAGAATTAAATTAGACAATATATGTAAAGCACTTAGCACAGTGCCTGGCCTTTGGTTGGCATTCAGCAATAGTTAGCTGTCATTATTACTGGTCCTAATACTGAGTCTTTTTCTTAATAGAAGGAAAAAAAGGCACTCCCGCAGCACAATAGATTCTACAAAGCTGCCACTGAACTTGACTTCATTCTGTCTCTGGCATGGAAGAGCTTGTTTGGGCTTTGGAAACAAGGGTTCTTTCTTGAAACCTCCAAAAATGAAAGACAACAAATCTCCCCTTTCCTTTCTCCCTTGCTCATGTCCTTTTCTTTGTCTTTCATCCTGTCTTCTTCCTCTTCTATTTTCTTCCTCCGAAAAGATCACTGTTTTGTAGCTAAGAATCTTTTTGTTCAGCTGGCAATTCACCTGGTCCTTAGTACTTGTGTGTTTTTGAGCACAGCCAGTTGCAATCACTATAGAATTCATCTCTCTGAATGTCTTTGGGTCTTAGTTTCTACTTGTAATTCCCCCTCCTGCCCTTTAGAGTCATCATTTAAAAAAAAAAAAATCTTTAATGCTCAGTGGACTACTAAAAACATGAATGAACCTTCCTTTTTAAACCCTGTCATCCCCAGCCCAGTGTCAACGCAACTCTTGCATTTTGAGTAAATGGTAAGCACTAAAAGCCTAAAAGCCTTGCCCAAGGCTGGAATGCAGCAAAACCAGACAGAATAAATTGTGTTTTTCCTGGCTTAATAGTCCCAGCAAGTATAAATATAGGTTGAGGTTAGTATTATTAAGTCAGTTTTTTTAAAAAAAAAAAAACTGGTCAAGGTCGTTGAAGGCTGCACTGTGATCATGAAATGAGAAAGAGTGCTGCAGAGAAGAAACCAGGGCTGGAATCCTGGTGTTGTCAATTAATAGATGTTCAACCTCAGACGTGTCCCTTTATAGTTTGTAAGCCTCAGTTTCCTCATCTGTAAAATGGGATTGATGACAATACTGAGCTGACAGGTTGCTGTAATGATTGGGGCATGTATAGAAGTGCCTGTCAGAGAGTAGACACCCAGTGCTCTCTACTGTCATTACCTCCCAAGCTGGGGCCTGGGTCATAATACCTGTGCTGGATTC